CTGAGGCCGGGGCCCGCGGGGGATGGGGACGGAGCACACCGCAGTCTCCTGCACACACAGCCTGCGTGCGAGCCGGGACTCCAGGGAGCCGTGATGGGCTTATGTGGCTCACACGACATTGCTGCTCAGGCGGAAATTAAGAATTTGGTGTTTCTAAAGGAAAGCAAAGAATAGGAGTACTTAAAAATGGCCAAAGCGGGCTGGGTGTGTCATTCAGGGACGATGCAAGGTCCTGGGTTTGATCTCCAATGCTGGGGAAAATAAACAACCAGAAAGCTTTTAGCTCTGCTAAAAATCTGTCAGCTAGGCATGGTGACACATGCCTAAATCCCGGCTACTCGGGAGGCTGAGGCAGGAGGACCCCAAGTTCCAGGCCAGCCTGGGCAATTAAATAAAATATATATATATACATAAAACAGTTGGGAGTGGCATGTGAGGCAGGCGCGCACACACGGACCTGGTTCTGCCCCCAGGACTAGGGGAGAATCCGAAAACGCACATGCTGCAGCCAATTTCTGAATGACAAGGAAACATTTTAAAATTTAGTTCGTGATAATGAGGCAGGGTAGAAGCAGGGGAAGAAGGCAATGAGGAAAGCAGCACGTTCTGGTTCCTCTGAACTTGCCGTGCAGCCCTCCGGAGTGCTGAGCCTCTACCGCTCACTCATGGCTCCGAAGTCCTCTGTGGAGGAGGAGCGGCCCTGCCACCACCTGCACCATCAGGAGTCCAGGCACCCGGACTCCACCGGCAAGGACAGGAGCTCAGAAAAGCCTGGGTGGTGGCGCACTCCTGTGATCCCAGCTGGTCGGAGGCTGAGGCAGGAGGGTCGCCAAGAGTTGGGAGGCCAGCCTTTTAGCTGTAGCAATCTCCAGAATCCCAAGGTGTTGAATCCTCCACTTAGAAGAGATCTTGGATGGCTGTACCCAACCAAGGTCTAAGTCTGCTGCAGAACCTGTTTTATTTTCCTCCCTTTCCCTGTTTCTCTTGGGAAAAGAAGCTTTACCAAGTATAATGCGTAATGGTGTCAATGAGACACGAGTATATGCACAACTTTTAAGTCTTTCTTTAGTACTGGGGATCGAACCAGAACTTTCAAACTGAGCTACATCCCCTGCCATTTTTTAAAAAAGTACTATTTATTTTGACACCAGATCTCACTAAATTGCCCAGGCTTGGTTCCAACTTGGGATCCTCCTGCCTCAGCCTCCCAGAGAGCTGCGATTCCGGGTGTGCGTTACCACACCCGGCTATGACCTCTCCAGGTGTATGTGATGCTAGGTATTTAATTTTGGTTGAGATGACAGTGAAGGAAGTGATGCCCGTACTTTGGCCCTGATTCTGCAGCCCAGACCCCAGCAAGTGGCCCTGGGCGCCGGCTCACCTTCCTCAGCCGCGCCCTGCCCTCATAGTAGGCAAGCACCGGGAGGCAGGCCCGGTAGTAGGTCTCCAGGCGCTTGCCTACCACCTTGGTGGCGTCATCCAAGGCCCCGCCGCCGGGGTTCCTCTGGAGAAGGCGTCTGGTCATGGTGTCCGCCGAGCAGTCCATGCAGATGACCAAGTGTGGGTCCCGGACCTGGGAGGGGACAGCAGGGCAGGACACGCTCAGAGGGCTGCGCTGCTGAGGTCCTGGGAAGGCCTGGGCCCTACTTCTTTCTTTCTCCTTTTAAGGTAGGGGCTTGCCGTGTAGTCCAGATTGGCCTCTAGCTCAGAGCGATCCTCCTGCCTCAGCCTCCCCAGTGCAGGGATTATGCGCCACCACGCTCGGCTCCATCCTTAACTGTCCTTTTGTCTGGGACAAACTAACTGTGCCTTGGCCCCGGCTGCAAGGAGGTCCTGGCTCCGTGACCCTGCCGTGTGCTTGTCGCCCCCAACAGAAGCAGGAACTGTGGAGCCGCTCGCGATCCCAAGGAGAGCAGGGCGGAGCCCAGAGGGGGCCCTGCCTTCTGGCCGCGTCACTCGGCAGGGACCAGGCCGGCCAGCAGAGGGCGCGCTCACCC